ACACACACACACACACACACACACACACACACACACACATACATACATATCTATGATTCCGAGTACCACCTCAAATTTGGTGTAAGACTTACTAGCTCCATGACAGAATGCATACCTGGCTATTCCCTCATTGACTGGTTGGTGAACTTCATCTTCTTCCAAAGCAAACAGCCAATCATAGTTAGTTTTCCAAGTGACCAATCAAAGGAGAGGAAACATTAGCCACTGATCCCGCCTCCAAAGGAGTAAAATTCAACTTGACTAGGAAGTGAATGTTGTGTTGTGCAGATGGGAGCGCATAGAGAGGTTGAGTTTTCTGTTCTCAGATGCTGTTCTGTGCACTCGTATCACACACACGCGCGTGGTTTTTATGTGCACAGGTTTTGAGATTAGTTAAACACCAAAGGGGTCCTTGATTATTTTTTGTTTCATTATATTCCATCAGCTAAGCAGTGGTGTAGCCAGAAAACTGACTTTGGGTGACTGTGGTTGCCCACTTCAAAACCACGAGATTTGCTCAGCTAAACCTGCTGTCAGGTATGTTTGGTTCAGAGTATTAGGTGACACTTATTCTAATCTGTTTCTGGAACAGAAATGGTTTAAATTGGCTATATGTCTGTAATTGTTTGCACATGTACAGCTTTTTCTGTTTTAGGTACGTTAGTATCACCAAAAGTTTTTGTTAGATGTTAAATGTCAGAATAAAGAGAGAGAGAATTTTATTTTTTATTTTTATTACTTTATTATTTTTATTACTTTTATTACTTTACATATGTAAACTTCTGGTTTCAACTGAATATGTATCAGTAATTTTGCTACCCCAGCAAGCCTTCATGTCAACTATTGGTAATTCACCATGTGTGAACCTTGGCCAACGGGTGACTAGCGCTGCTGGGCCGTGAAAAGACACGCTGCTATTTCATCTGTGCTGGTATCCCTGCAGTTTTTATTTCCAACTTATTTGTTTAGCAGTTTTGCTCGGATGTTTTTATTATTAGTTTTGTACTGATTTGTGTTTATTAGTTTTGTTTTGTTTTTACTATGGCTGTTCCTGCAATCATGTGCAGATACAGGCAGAACCTAAACGTAACAGAACACTACAAAGAGAGGTTCCCGATTCCATGGCCCGATCTCCCATGACTCGAGCCCTGCAGCTGCTGCTGGCACTCGGCTGGATTTTAGAAGGTCAGAGCACTGATGAACTGATGAACGAGGACCCATTAAATGGGGTTGAGGATTCAGGACCGGTCATGACAGGTAATGAGCTGGGTTGTCCTTTACTTTACTTTTTCCCTAGAGAGTTCTTGTACATTTTTGAAGTGTGTTTTTGCTCGTTATTGTGTTGAAGAAATTAAGTAGTTTGCCAACATCCCTAGTGCATTTATATAGTCACGCATAACAATAACAAACATAATAAACAAGCTATTAAACTATTGGTTAACCTATAAAGGACTAACTGACACTCTCTTGTTTTAGGAGGTCCACCCAACCAGCCCTGGCCCCCCCAACCAGCCTTCCCACCTATCAAGGATTCATTACCCCCTGCACCTGGTGAGTTGCGACCTCTGAGCCTGAGCTGCCTGCATGCCTGCTCAGCATGAGTGTTAATATGGAGGCCTGGATGTAAATATACAGGGGGGGAATGAGTAAATAAATGCACTGGGGATGTTGCAGACTACTGTAATTTCCTCAGCATGATAGTGAGCAAAAACACACTTCAAAAATGTACAAGAACTCTCTAGGGATAAAGGAAAGTATTGGATTGGACAACCCCAGCCTCACTCTCATTTAACCTATACAAGACATAAACCTTACAGTATGTGTATTAATACAACCTTGTCTGGCAGAAACCATATCGGCATTAAAATCTCTTACACTACACTTCTACAGCTGTCACAATGCTTAGCCACACAGTAACAGAACTTCTTGACCTGGTCTGCATGCTCTGTTTTCAGTTGCAGGTACATGAGTTGAGGAGCGGGTAGTTTGGATTAAAAAGCAGGAGTATCCAGCAACCTGGCCATGAGTGTGTACAGTATATATTAAACTACTTGTTTAGACAGTTATGTGGCAAGGAGGGCAAGGAGGGTATGATAATGATACGTAGTGTGACTTCCTATTGACTACGCTAAGATACGGCAGCCCAAAGTGGGTGACCGTTGAAGGACACCTGAAAGAACCTGCAGAATAAACACAACAAAATACAACAGAAACAGTAAAAACGGAAAAAATCAGCAGCGTGTCCAATATGGTCCAGCAGCACTGGTCATCCACTGGCCTGGGCATCCACACAGCAAACAGCCCCTTGACTGGGGATCAGCAGCAAATAAGCCTAAATAAGCAGGAACAGTCAGGGAAACCAGCAGCAAGCTGAAGACCAACAAACATCAGCAGCATCAGGGGGCATGAAGCAGGAAAGATGCACCTTAATGACGATCACCGGTGTTTTAATCTATACTGGAGTCAATTTGATATTCTAATAAGAGCTACAAGAATGCTCAAAAGGGAAGTAAAGGGGAGGGAAACACCCACCCCACTGCTGTCATTTATTTAAATGTGTAGAACAATAAAAACATTAATGGTGTGATGTATTAGCTGGGAATGAGTCCCGTACAGGAACTACACACTCGCGTTCACTCACCTGCAAAGATTTGTTCTTTTTGCTGTTCCGCTTGTCCTAAGTTAGCCCCTTGCAAAGCTTATTGCCATATGCCCCACTCAATAGTTGTTCTTCAAGCGGAAAGTACCTATTTGTTTTGTACGCAATACGCCAAGGGAAAGTCTCCATTTTTATCAGATAGGGATGCAGTAGTGACGAAATCTGGCTTTTATTTAAATTTTATTTATATTTGACAGATGAATAGTATGTTTAATTTCATCATTGTTAATAATGCATATTATAGTCACGTTTTTGTTTTAGTTACCGTCAGGCAAAAGCCCTTTGACAGGCCATATTTTTGGCAATGAAATTAACAGTGGAGACAATAACAGGTATCACAAACAGGCGTGAGTGCAAGAACACAAACTGTCTCAATGGAAACTGTACAATTTAACTGCTGTAAAATCTCTTTCAATCCCTTAGGTTTTTCCTTAACAAAATTTTGAAAATCGCAAGCGAATTATTAAGTATCAGAATGAAAATATACATTGCAAAAAAAAACAAAAAAAAAACGTTTTTTTTGTTTTGCTTCTGACTTTTGGTACTTTTTAATGGGTGGGCGGGCTTTCGAAGGGGGTGTACACCTTACACATCTGTTGGTCAACTGGAATTTGGAAAATACACTCCTTTAACCATTAGGACACTCCCACTCTGTGATGCTTCAGAGAATCGCAATATGGCCAGTTTTCAGCCATAACCGCTGTCATGGAAACGAGGCTGAAAGGAATTTCTTTTCACTGTGAGAAATGTAGCAAAATCTTGGTGTAATCTCACAAAGCCACAAGTCACATTGATATCTCAGAGCACAGATGTTTATACTTTGAAAAAAACTTTGTTATAACCATGACAGTGGAAATACTTCTGGTTCATTAGTCTTGCTTATTCTTGCTAGCTTCATGGTACTAAGTGCCGTAAGTGAAATAGCTGGTGGACTCGGAATGTGGAAGAGAGTGTGCATATAGGGGACTGGATTTTAGAGATGCATCATTTTCATGATTTAAATTATTTTGACTAAGAATTATTAGTGTTTGAACTCATTACCTCACCAAGTGATGAGCTGGTAGGTGTGTGTTTTTAACAAATATCCTCCTGAGACCCCACCCATTCATTTATGTCCATTGTAGTGGACTTTTCACTGATGTAAGGAAATATATTCATTCCTGTTGTACACTAAAGAGGACATGCTGTGAAATTAAAAATAAAAATAAATTTGAAAAAATCTAAATTGTAAGATGTCTTATTTCCTCCAAAGACAAATAATCTACAATTGAAGGACACTTTTTTCCTTGGGTCTCAGGAGGATATGACTAGCTAAGGTACAATGTTGACATGACAAAGTAAGTAGTAGAAAGGTGATACTCATTGCACTCCTCTGTTCCTGTCTCTTATTAGGTGAAGTGTACATTATGCTTCAGGAACTCATTAAACAGTTACCGGACAACCGGACGAACAGCATTTTCATCTGGAACAACCAGACAAACAGCATTTCCACCCAGGACTGCCTGTTATACAGCAGTTTCATCCTGTTGATTGTGGTGTCCGTCCTTTACTCGGTTGCATTCCTTGTCGGGCTCCCAGCGAACATCCTGGCCCTGTGGGTGCTGATCTTCCACACGGAGAAGATCCCATCCACCATCCTCCTCATCAACCTGACAGTGCTGGATGTGCTCGTCCTTCTGATGTTGCCCTTCCGCATCACTTACCACTTTGCTGGCAATGACTGGTTCTTCAGTGAGTCACTGTGCCGACTGGTCATGGCTCTGATCTACGGTAGCATGTATGGTTCTATGCTCTGCCTGGCATTTATCAGCATAGACCGGTATATAGCTCTAGTGCACCCCTATAGTGCTCTGACCCTGCGCAGCCATCGCACCTCCCTGGCCATGAGTGTATCCCTTTGGGTGGTGGTCCTGTTAACTATGATGCTCCAGGTTTTCTTTCAAATGGCTTTCTCGCCGCCCTTCAGCACTAACATTGCCCTGTGTTATGATGCCCCGCTTTCTTTCTTTTTCCCCTTTCTAGGCCTTCTCTTGTTCTTTCCACCCCTGCTGGTAATTCTGTTCTGCCATGGCACTGTACTGAAGACCCTTCTGGTCAGAGGGCACCGCTACTTCCATGCTGCATGCCTCACTGCCCTGGTCTTGCTGGTCTTCTTTGCATGTTTCCTCCCTAACATCATCATCCTGCTTCTGTACCTCACAAACGGGAATTGCGACCTCATTGTGCCCTATGTAGTCAGCCTGGCCTTCAGCTGCTTTGGTCCCTGCATTGATCCCTTCATCTACAACTATGTATCTGATGATTTCAGGGGCAAAGTTCTCAGGGTGCTCTGCTGCCGCCATGCTGGGCAACAAGTATCCTCCAATAACAGCGGCATACATTTGTCAAGCAGCAGCCAATCCAGCAGCACCTTGCTGTCTAAGTTTTGGGGGCAGATGAAAATTTTTTGCTCGGAAATGTGCCAGGAGGTGTGATGCAGAATAGATCTAAAGCAGTTTTATATGAGAAGTTTGTAAAATGTCTTAAATATGTAAGTGTTGGGTAAAAAATATTTACACTTCTTGCTCTGTACTAGTGACAATTAGCTCACTATCTTATTTAAACAGAGCAGTGAGTTTTGCTCAGTCATCATCACTCTACGGATCCTATTCTTCCATCAAGCATACAACTCAAAGCACTTAAATAGACATATTATACACAATTTCTCAAACTTTCAGATAGGAAGTAAACCTCCTTGGCTACTTCTAGGCATGACACCCCAAAAAGACTTAATATATCACAA